CATAAACAAAAAGTTTTAAAAAGTATATATATATATATATATATATATATATATATATATATATATATATATATATATATATATATATATATATATATATATATATATATATATATATATATATATATACTTTTTAAAACTTTTTGTTTATGGTATTTCATACATGTCTAACCTATCATTTTACTATAAGTGTAAATTACAATTTTTAACCTAATTACATCTCTAAACCCTCATGGTAACCTTGAAGTTTTGGTGCATTAAAAGCAATCTTAAGATGTTATTAGAGCAATCTATGTACAAATGCTATTGGATGCACATTTAAAAGTGGTTCTAGAAAAGGTGTGCCACTGCATAAAATAAATCAATTTTAAATTCATGATAAGTATAGTCAACCTCTTAAGAATGAGAAAGTATTAACTTGTTCCGAGTGTATGACATAGAATGTGCACCAAATGGATGTCAACTGTTATATCATTCTAAATCAGGATTCATGCATGGATTTAATGGTTGACTTCCATTTGGTGCACATTTAACGCCATGGATCATCCCCACTGGATACTTTCTTCTTCGGAATAATCTTAATAATGAACTAGGATATAGTATCTACTAGACTTGTTTATTTTTTCTGTAAAGTTATTAGATCTAGGAATGATTTATACAATAAGGGTCTCTTAATGCACCGGTTGGAAAAAATGATAATAATGTAGACTTCTAGTTAATGAGAAGAGAGATAAAGATAGACACAAAAAACTTAGTTGGAAACAATTAATTAGAAGGATATGATAATAATTAACTTAATGATGGAGATGACCTAAAATAGAATCGAATGAAAGAATAAGATTCATATACTAGACTCTAAAAAATTGGGATAAAAGCTTTGTTATTGTTGTCATGTTAGATTTATTGATGGTGAAAAACTACTATATAGATGGGAAAACATAAGGATGGAGAGATGATAATGAACTAAAAATTTGTATGGAGTTTTTTACTATGATGGAGCAGTAGTGATTAAGCCATGACTCCACTAAATAATGACATACACACTACATATTTTCTTTGTTCTAACTCTTTGAATTGAAAACACGATCATACTTTTATTAAATACAGGATGACAAAGGCTAGTGACAAAGGTCACTCGAATTAATAACGAAACTTAAAAGAATTCAAAGCCGTAACCACACGAATAAAAGAACAATTTACACAAATTGAAACAATATTCATGTACAAATTCATCTTCTATAGGCAATCTAGCTTATCTTCATCTGAGCCTGCACTCTCTTGGACGTCCACGAGGGGACCTCTTGATATCAGCACAGTAGTTGTAGACCATGTATTTCCTCTGCACCCATCTCATCCTCCTGTAGCTGTAAGAGTCCAGCTCATGTCTGTACCAATCTCCCTTGGTTGACGATGAAGGAGTTGAGCCCATCGGTTTGTCTGCAGAAGAGCAGCTAGATGAGCGCCCGTTCCATACACAAGCGTTGGCATTGAAGTTCCTATAGTAGGCCGTGAAGGGAGCCTGAGCCCAGTCTGTCTTCACGAGCCCGCCCTGGGTAGCCCAGTCATCTGCGTTCCACAAGCTCGAGTAGAGCCTCATTGGTTGTTTCTTTGGGAAGAATACCCCCCTTGACTCGTGATTCTTGAAATCTCTGATCGGAATATTATCCACCAAGAAACTGAAAAATGCACAAGCAATTATTAGGATTTTTTTTCGTGGATTGAATGGATTGAGTGATCGAGCTTAAGTAGTTACTTACATAACATGTTGTGGATTCCAAAGAATGGAGTAAGTGTGGAAATCCTTGGTGGGGTCGAACCACAAGTGAAACTGCTGCTCTCGGTCGCCCTTTCCCTGAGCAAACACATTGGTGTGCAGAGTATAAGGCTCTCCAGTCACATTCCCGAGGAATTCAAAATCAATCTCGTCGTGCGCTGGTCCTTTCGATGATAACTGTAAACAAATACCAAATCAGATAAAAAAAAAATCTCAATTGATAACAAATTGAAAATCCAAGATTCACTTACATAAAATGTGGTGACTGTGCCTGCAGAATTTCCAGCGACAAGCTTGATCTGGACATCAAGCCTGCCATAGAGATACTCGTGTGTAGACTCGAAGCCAGAGCCAGAGTACTGGTCCAGAGATAGAGTTAGTATCTTTCCGTTGTCGAGAATCTTTCCTCTGCCATTGCCCCAACTGATTCTGATGTCATCGGTGAAGCTACCTCCATTGGCAAAGTTTATTAGGAAAGAAGAGGTTAGCAGTACAAGAGAACATGTTAGGATTGGCATAGAAGTAGCAGTAGACATTATTGGAGAATTGGATTACTAATGTTAGGTGATTTGAATTTGATGATTTGGGCTCCAATTGAGGGCTATTTATAGACGTGAACCTAATTGAGAAATAAAGGAATTGAAGAAGGTTATACTCTCAAGATTGTCACGAATGTAGGCTGGCGGCAACTGTCGCCGCGTAGGGTATCTTGATTTCTCCTCTCTTAGTATTTTCTTTTATTTATCTTGTGATTATTTTTGGAGAAAAGTGTACGTTGTGATATACTCAGTAGCTGTTGAAAGGGGATTTGACCAGACTGCTAATGGTTTTTTAGACTCATTCTTAGCCTTGCTCAAAACAGCTGTAATTGGTTGGCTGCAATATATTTGTATATATTTATTAGGCTGGAAGTGGAGCCATTGAAGAAGATTCATATTTTACCTTAATTTGATTCTAGTACCAAAAGCAATTCTATACTAAATAATTGCGTAGATGTGCGCCCAAGTTCAGGTAACAGTCAATAATATTGTATTTATTTGGAAATTGATAGCTAACATAATGATATCTATTCAGTTTAAACAACTTTCATGTTTGCACCGATCTCATTCTTCAAATGCACGTTCTTGTTTAAAGTATTTGAGAAATAGATAAATAAATGCTAAGTTCTTTTGCATATTAGGTGACTATTGTTCGTTTGGGAGCCTAATTCACAAATAATGTACCTGCTGTTTTTTTTCCATGCCAAGATATATGAAAGTGTAATAACTGATATTACGGGATTATCGTTTGGATTATTCACCAACGTAAACAAGAAAGTACAATTGAAACTTCATCTATCTTGTCTAAAACTCTGGAATTTCAACCTACTATGTGTAATTCCAAAAATGCTCCGTTAGAATTTTGAATTATCCAATAATTATCAATACTATTGTCCCCAATGGATCAAAGGATGAGAAAAGATAAGTTGGGGACTTTGGTATCTTAGACTGATGCAAATAGCAGTGGTGCGATCAGGATAGGCCGTTTACGTGCTTAAACTTCGAACGACCGTAAACTTTTGATCCATGCATGTACCCCACCAAGGTGATCTAGGTGCCTACTAAATGCTCTTTTTGCATCTCAAAATCCTCAGTTTGACGCTGCTTTGGAGCTGTTTTGTTTATTGGAGTATTATTGCGCCGTATCTTGAACAATTTTATTTTATTTTATTTTCAAACTTTATATATGTTTAACCAGGCCCCTCTGTTCAGGCATTCTAGGGTTTCTAGGTATTTAGGTTATGTTTTGTAGCCATCAAGGAGATTATTCAGATTATACTATTATGAGATTATTGAACTTTTAAGTTTTTCCTATCAACTGAGTTTTTGCTACTTCATATTACAATTGAAGAGCCTAAGGAAGTCCCTCATGAGGGTTCGTTTTTCACACACGCTTGAATGTTCCAATTGATGATGATCATAAACGATAAAGAACTACATGACAATCCAGTCATGAAGCTTGACTTCGTTCAAGGAATGGAAGTGAGCCAGAGCGCACTTCATAATTGTCATCCAAAGTGAAGCCGTTTGGAGTCTAAAGCATGGCGCAAAGCGCATGAAGAGCTTCATTTAGGATCCAATTGCAAGGGCATGGTGAAAAGGGTAACGAGATATCCATTCATGATTCAATGATTAGGTGAATGTAGGAAGTTACAAAAAGTTCATAAATGGAGATGAACAGGTTAATGTGGTTGGACTGTAGTTGATTCCAAAGTATTAACCATTAGCAGAGTTGTTATTCCAGACACTAGTGTGCACCCCGTGCAAAGCACGACCCGTGGTTTCTTAAGCACTGCATTTTGAACTTGTTTCCCTCTAAGTTTTAATGCATTTGATTTGATTATTGTATGCTTAAAATTAGAAATTATATTTATTCCTCTATACTTAAAGAAGAATGCAAGTTTTAATACATTTGATGTAGAATTCATATTTACTCCTTTATACTTAAAAAAAGATTCAAGTTTTAAAACATTTGATTTAGAAATTATATCTATACTTAAAGATCCAAGTGTTAACACTGTGGCAAAAATGTTTTATGTTATGCTACAGTTTTTACTGTAGCATAAACAATGCTTCAAGATTAGAGGATCGTTCATGCTACAGTAATTTATTGTAGCATGAGCGGTGATTCTGGGTTCTCCTTAAGTATAGAAGAGTAGATGTATAAGCACATATCAATCTATGTAGGACTAAGTCTTTGTTTTATCTTTCCTAGACTAAGGCCACACATGGAACCAAATGAATGTGAGACACTGCTAGCAAAGACGATAAAATTGTGATGATGGTTAAGGAGCATAATTTTATAGTCTAAGGTTATGTTTGGCAAACCCTTCAAAACTAGGTCAGGATTGATCTTGATTTATTTTATCCTAGCCATGTCGTTAGCCTGGTTGTATCCTAACTAGGCCGCTAGGAATATTCCAAGGGGAAGAAAGCATGCCTACGAGTCAAAATTTTGTTGGAAAACAAAAGCTTAATCAGGTCAGTATCAATCCTTTCCTGGTTTTAAAGGGTTGTAAAACATACCCTAACATGCCTAAATTGATCCAGTCCTCGTCACAGGTCAAAACATCGTCTCATGCTTGGAAAATCTGTTTGTTTCCTTAAATGCTTGACTGACAAGTAAGATTTTAACAACCCTTTAAGATCTGCCTTACTGCACCAAACTTGCGAAGTAGCGCATAAATGTTACTGGTTATAAATTTCTGTACCTTATCACACTTGTTTTGTTACAGTTAGCTTAGGAATGAAAGGGTCATCCAACTTTGACGACATGTGGTAGAGAAGTTGTTGGGTTCGATTAATCCAACGAACCTATGTGGCCCAACCTACTCGTTTTTGGATTTGATTTAAAGTTTCCATCGATTCAAGTTAGGATCAGGATGCTAAACACATAGTCTGGTTAGATAGTTTCATGTTTATCAAGTTGGATGATTATCTTGAATATCTAAAGGATAGAATCGATCAGAGTGTAATCCCACGGTTGTGATTAAATCATGATTGATAGAGTTAATCACAAATATCTATTTAAGGGTGGGAGTCCCTCCTCTCAACCGTACGCAGAAAAGAGACAAAATTCCCATCGTTGGCTTCAGGCGGAGAGAGAAGAAGACTTCCATTGTTTTCGACATTGAACGATAAGTTTAATCTGTATTTCTAGTTCAACTTTTCATGCCTAGATCGTTAAATAAAACCCAACAGTGGTATCAGAGCTAGATTGTGCATGAATTATTGATCTAGAAATAAAGTCTTTTTTCGGATTAATTAAAATTTTTTTTGTTTGCCGTCAAACTTCATGGCTGCAGAACTTTGAATTAAAGAAAACTCAAGATCAATAATTACTGGAAAAGTTCTTCGAGTTGTTTGATTTCTATTTCGTCAAAAAGTTGAATTTTTTTTAGCCATGGCCAGATGCAAAGCTATTTCGTTTGATTTCAGCCATGGCCAGATGCAAATTAGAACTCAAAGATGATTTTTTATGCCTCCAAAGGCCATGGCTGGATTTTGAACCCATGCGGCCATGGTCATGTCCAAGGTTGCTTCTTGTGGCCATGGCTGCTCCTCGCGAAAGAACGGTGCGGCGGCAGGGATGGTGTGGTTAGGTGCGTGCTAGCGGCAACATCCTCTTAGGTCGGGTGGAATTAGAGTTAGGGTTTTAATTAATAAATTTAATTAGTAAATAGTTAGATTAATTAGTATAATTAACTACCATTTATTATTTAAGTTATATAACCCTATAACCCATTAAACCAGACCCGATCTAGTATTTAATGGACCCAACCCACTACAGTAATGGATTGTATCCATTAAAATTCTGACCCAACCCATTATATAATACGTCAGACCCATTAATTTTCAGACCCGACCCATTACAGTTTTGACCATACATTTTGTTTTGGTCGCTACAGATCCGTTTTAAGTCCGATTTGAGCCCATAAATAGTCGTTGGAAAGATTATTCTGTGTACTTTTCAAACATATAGTTTTTATTTTCATTTTATAAAGTTTTAATATAGAAATTATGACAATTCATAAAAAATATTGTATGCACATAAAGATAATTGATTTACCCTGATTATATCCTTAATTCAGGTGGGGTAAATATTTGGGTTCATGATAAAATGCATTACAGTATTAGATCAACATATGAGGTTAAGGCTAATCAGTAAAATAGTCACTTAGAAATTATGGTAGAGTAGGTTAGTGTCTTGCCCAAAGGTGACCAACCTATACTACCCTAATTTCCTAAGGTTGAGTTTAGTCTCATTTGGACTGGAAGGTTGCACTTACATGTGGGTGGACTACTAGTCTTGCCCAAAGGTATCTAGGAAATCCCCTGCAGGATAAGTGGTGCATGATAGTTGAAACAGGTCAGTGAAAGGAGAATAACCCTATTGCCCAAAGGTTAGGAAGTGTTCAAATCAAACTAACACTGTGTAGGCTAGTCCTGTAGGTGATTATATATCACATTTTTTTTTTTTGGGGGGGGGGGGGGGGGGGGTGCCTAAAGATGTGATGAGATGATGCACCCGCCTTTCCCGCAGAGTGGAAGGTTGCATACGTAAAACACTTTGACCCATCCATTCTGACCCTAAATTGGATGTGAAAATATTAAAGTTAATAAAATTAAAGGTCTCATTTGATTTATACGTCCATGGCTTAATACAGATGGACGGACAATTTATCCAGAAGCATCTGACTGGGATTGAGCCCCTCACCGGTTCCAACTATGGCAACTGGAAGATACAAGTTAAAATAGTACTTGGGTGTCTTGACTACGACTATGTTCTCACTGAAGATAAGCCAGAAGAGCATGATTAGTCATCAAGTCTATCTGAAAAAAAATCTCATACTAAGTGGGTCAAAGCCAACAAGCTTGCAATACTAATCATCAGAGCATCGGTGGACCAGACTATTCGTCGAGAGATTTCGGCTTGCGAAACTGCTAAGGAGTTGCTTAAGACCATCAAGAAGCAGTTTGAGGGATCCGTTAGAGCGAGATAGTATAGTTATCTAGTCAATCTT